TCATGGATTATCGTAAGTGGACATTCGCATTGCACAACAAGATTGATAATATCATTTCATTTCGACCGGTTAAAGTTGATATCATCAAAATAAAGTACTTCCTTCCGGTCGCCTTGATAATTGAAGAAAACTTCATGCGAGCATAAAGTTCGATAACAAATTTTATTCTATTTATTCAGCGATGTTGAAAGAATTGATCTGACTGAGAATAGGATCACACCCATTTATACTAATAATTATTCCAATCTTGCACTTGCAATAAGTTTTTCCTTCTTCATTTAGTAGTATTTTGTTTGCTCAAAATGACCTAGTTTTTTTTTAAACATACCGCCTTCACGTACAAAAAGCTTTAAATTCCTCACAATTAACTTGTGCACTATTTTATACATTATTTATAAACACAAGTTGCATAATGTGTTAAATCTGCTTTAGGTGTAACTGTTAGATTTTAACTGACAGAGTTTACATTCAGTAATGAAACATTCATGAACTATACTCACGATTGACGTTTGGGTGGGACTGACATCAGCTTCTTGGAAACATTCATTGCATTGTCATGAATCATTTAAGAAGGCAGTTGTGGAACACGAGCGGATATTGTAATGACTGAAGATAAACCATTCAATATACACTTCGAACTATTAGGGTATGAGTAAATGTTTACTTGACTGTATCATCAGTTGGATAAGTTAACACACACAAAAAACGTGTCGTCCTGTCACTTCGAATGAATAATCTTGACATTTATCAATCATTTAGTCTAATTTCATATCTTTGTCATATCATTTATACTACTATAGCTTTGCTTTAAAAATCTTTTTGTCAGTGTTCCACTTCAGAAAACAAAAGACAGTTAAATAGCCGTAAGTTAAGGATAAGTTAATAGTATCAACTTTATTGAGACACTTAAAATGTGCTTTAGTATGTGTTGCGATTATCAGCTATGAATAATTTTATTAGCTGTTGCTTAGTCGTATAAATCTTTGAAATTGAAGACAGGTTTCCTTACGGAAATCTATTATTTTACGAGTCAAGTTATTCCTGTACGTAAAACTTGCATCACTGTACATGCATGCACACAGGAATAATCATCAAATAGAACTCAAAAATACAAACAATTTACGTAGAGACAATACTCACTAACTAAATATTCCTGTTGTATTTTATCAGATGTTAAGGTATTCTCTGCAATATGATTAACTGACGAATAATTGTCAGCATATAGTATTCAGAATCGTTAACACTTTCGAATATGGCGACAAGATAAATAACTACAATGTTGACGATTGAGAAATTAAATGCGAACCACTTGACTAAATGTTGACGAAAGCAAATTAGGAGGAAGTCATCAAATGATATTTCTCCTATAAAGTCATTAACAGAAGGTACGGGTATAAAGTTTCCGAGGCTCGCATACAGAAATGTGGAAAGTTAAGTACATTGATCTGTAATGTGTAAATTAATTGTATTTCGCGGGGGAAAACCGCATCCCGGACATGCTTGCATTGTTGCTTAGGGTGTTCAGAAGACTCTGCATTTTGTCAGCGTCTTCACCAAGTAGGACAATGTCATCGGCATATTCTAAGTCAATAAGCGAGCCACCTGGTAAAAGCTCTACTCCTGAAAATTCAGACGAGGATAAGGTTATTTCTAGGAGCATGTCTATGATAAAATTAAACAAAAATGGAGAAAGTGGACATCCCTGACGGACACCACTTGAAGTGAAGAATTCCGGTGACAGTTCGCCATAAGCTCTCACTCGACCAGTGGTGTTTGAGTAGAGAGCTTGTATGAGGTTAATGTACTTCTTTGGTACACCTTTCAATGACAGACACTGCCACAGAACCTCACGGTCCACTGAGTCAAATGCCGCCTTAAGGTCCAGGAACACGACTATTGTAGGACGCCTAAATGTGTCTGTGTTCCAGGACCTGTCGTAGTGTGAAGATGTGGTCTATACAACCACGTCCAGGTCGAAAACCAGCTTGGTTTTCTCTAGTCTGTTCTTCACGAACTTTCGTTAAGCGTCGAAGTATTATTGAGGCCAATAATTTAGATACTATATTAGTTAGACTTATTCCTCTGTGATTATCACAAGAAGACTTTTGTCCTTTCTTATAGATTGGGACAATCAGTGATTGAGACCAGTCGGATGGGATTACGTCCAGTTCCCATATTCTACCTAAGATCTCGGTCAACCTAGCTGCTAAAACTGGACCACCATCCTTAAATATCTCAGGGGTCAGTCTATCAGGACCTGCAGCTTGTCCTCGTTTCAGATTTCCTAACGCTTTTCAATTTCATTAAGACTAGGGGGGCTTACGTCGATTTGCCATTCACGATGACTGGAGATCGTGGGTAACCGAAGAGTGGCTCGAGGCCAGTTGAACTGATCCTTAAAGTGTTCTGCCCATCGGACCAGTATCCTGCATTGAGAATGGATAATAAGACCATCCTCTTCCGAAATAGTCCCACTCACACTTGGGTTCCTAATACCAGTTTCCTTAATGAGTCTAAATAACTGCCTATCGCCGCTGCCTTTTCTATCGCTTTTGCTTTGAAGTTACCTACCATGATTACTATATCAGAGCACCTAATTTTTTGGAGGTTGGAAAGCTTTCTGAAGTCAGTGGGAGAGTAGTCAGATAAAACGAAGAGGAGTCTGTCTGCTGGCATCCAGTCTAAGAGAGCTAGTTCTGCCCTAGGATTCAATGCAATACCCTACACAAGCGCGAACACGGGAAGCAGCAGCAAGGCTTCCAGATACACAGAGTATAAACCAAGTTAGTTATTTATCTGGACAAGGTGAAGTCAAATTCTTAGTCTGATCTTATCTTAATAACAGCATGCCAATTTTCGAGTTTTCTCGTCTGCAACTTCAATTCAACTGATTGATCGTAATACACATCATTATTCTGATTGATGTACCAAGACCTTTTGCATTCACAGTTTTCCGAGCGTATCAGTATGTTGATGGGCTCTCATCAACGCAGTGAATGCTACTAATATCTACGTTTTTTACACTTATCAGTCTAAGCCTGTTGATAGACGTCCTTGTTGTACTTAGAACCTCTCGTAAACTTCTTCAGAATGAACTGTTTTCCTACGATCGACTGGTTAATAACTTCCCGAATGCATTCTTGACCTTTTCACTCTCAAACTGATATCTAGGGGATTGTCCTGCTGTGCTTTAGTTTGTTCAACAAGCTATATTTTGTGAATTTGGTCTTGAAAACATCACAGGTTGTGAACTGATGACAAGATTAAAAACACGGTTGCATAACATTCTGCTGGAAAGATTACCAACAAAGATTATTCTATCATACATAAAGGATACGGGAAAACTGAAACCGTTTGCACTAGGTGCAGCAAACAATCCAATAAAATCAATTCAATTAATTCAAAGTAAACCAAAGGACAAAATGACAGAAATTGGGAAACTAAAAATCATCTAAAAAAAATAAGCTGCTCAGACTGAAAACACTACATAGGGAAAAGTGAACGTCCTTTACAGGTTCGTCTGCGTGAACGTCAATTAGCAGTCATTTCTTTCTTTATAGTAGTACATAAGCACAACTACTATAAACATACATTCGATCGGAACAATGTTGAAATACTGGATAGAGGGAGTACAAAGAACAATAGACTTTCCAGAAGCTTCGCACTCAATTTGATAAGCAATCAAAAAACACATCGACATTGACTCAATTTATCAACCAATCAGAAAAGTCACAGACAAACACAGGATCAAGAAACATCAAAGGGGAATACGATCAAAATAAAGGTGCAAACCATGATAGGCTTAAGGTCAATTATAACCAATCAAGATCGAGGTTAACAGAACAAGGTACGGGTCAAGCGTGGATAAATTCGAATACTTCCCTTCTATCTGAAGTTTGTGCTGATGTTGTTCAGAAGAACAATGAAAGCTCCACAACCAAAACACCCAACTCAAAGAATAAAACTCCAACATAAACACAGTGAGGTCGACGAACTGCACTATCTATTTAAAAAAAACCAAGCACTGACGCAATCGTCGCAGGTACCCGTCTGTGTAGACTACAAGTGGAAACATAAACCAACAAATTAATTTTAGCCGCACAGATAATTACAAATATTCTTCTCAATAACTTGATGCCTATATATGTTGAAAACATTCATCTAGTTATTGATAGAAATTCTCATTCATTGGCACTTTTTGATGTGTCTTAACTGCCGTTTCCAATCAGCACTGATACATACACAACTTGCGTGTATTATTTCAGTTCGTAAACTCTCATGCAGAGTGTAGGCAAGAGCTCTATAAATCTAACGTTACAGATAATGAGTATTTATATATTTAGGTCGACCATAAAACAACACTGAAGTACGTGACATTAATGGCTACGACGACCATAAAATTGACCAGTAGAATTAGACTTACAAAAATAATTCTCTTAGGATATTCGATGAATATCCTAACAGGAGTATTGTTAACTAAACTTTTCAATTATACACAATCTATTTTACTTATTTTTTCGGTTGTACTCCTTTTTCCTCGTTAATGTCTTCATAATGTTATCTCTAGATTTTTATGAAAAGGACTTCTTTGGCCCCCCATTGTACCCGAAACAGTCCTGAGCTAAAGAACTACTTTACCTACTTTCTTCAAAAATTACTTTTAGCGTAAGTGACAATTAACTTGATGATAAATATGCAAAACCGGAAGACTTTCGATCACTTTGAATAGTAAATATAACTTATGTTGATTCGAATTTATCCGCGTGGTAAATTTCTTACTGCGGCGATAACATTAGAATATCCACTGAAACACGGAAACTGGTTACATATGGAAAAGTGCTTAAATATATTCGGGTGGAGTAAACAACGTAAGAGACTTTTGAATAAGTATATAAACTAGACGCGAATTTCGAAAAACCCCATTCATGATGGCCAAAGCTACTAATGAACGTATTTACAGTATATATTACTTCTAATTGACATATAAACTTCCTTGAGAATTCCTTACACCACGAATAATGACTACAGTAATATTCTACAGATTTTAAAGCTTGGAAAATTATCTTCAATTAGCACCACCTAAGAACCACTAATAAGATAACTATCAACATAAAAATTCTGCGCAACTGAAGGCATAATTTTGATTTGCCTTTTAAAAAATCAAAGGCAGGTTGTGTTAATAAGCTACAAAGAAAACTAGGTACAATGTATGAAATTCAGAGTAATCTTACAAAGGTCTTGTAAAGATAACACTATATCAGATTGATGAAATGCATTAAAAATATAGAAGTATGTCTAATCCATCATTGTTACACGTTCCCAGTCAATTTTAGGGTCCTGACCAGAAGTATCTTGAGTCCAGTCTGGACTAGTCTCTGGGCCTATTACCACATGACCCACATTATGAAAATCTGACATGTCAGATAACTTTTGTTCAATATTTCTAGCAACGTTCTTTATTTTCGATTCATCGACAGCGAAAACCTGGTTTCTATGTAACTGTCTCATATCATCATTAATCCCATTCAAAAAATTGGTAAGACCACGAGAGCCCGCTGAAACAGGATAGTCTAACTAAAAAGTTACACAAAATCAATGTAAATAAGAACCGAAACAAGACAAAACTATAATTCACTGTTATCTCAATAAAATGACAGTATAAGATTTCACCACAGAAGTAATAATAAAAACAGTTACATGCACACATTACGATTACTAATTCTTCAAGAAATGATAGAGGATAGTTTGGATCTCACTTTTCATTTCATGTAGATTGACCTAAACATGACTAACATGAACTTTTCAACTATATTGCAAGATTGTTTTCATGATGTTGTTAGTAGGAGAATCACAGTTTTGTCTAAGGGATCGAAAATGAACTTGTTATGAAGGAACGCAATAACTGTTGACCTACAAAATAAGTTTGCTGGTGCTCAAGCATTTGGGAAATGTAACAATTAGATACAGGAATGATCTAATATTAGTCTGCTTCTCAAGAGTTAGTCTTTCATAAGCTTTTCACAATTTGCGGACTATGACAGCGGCCAGAATATTCGGGATGCGATTAGAAGCAGATTTATACATGTTTTACGTAGATGAATAATATGAGTTTATTTCAAGGTAATGGGAAACTTTTCCATACATCGAACCTTATCAAACAAGTCAAACCGCTTTCTGATCAAGATTTCAATTCAATCGTTGACAGGGGTTAAGGGTAGGTAGCTTGAGATCAGAGATATTCTACGCATCACAGATTACAATTTATTCATTTTGTTTCATGGGTACATATTTACCGGCAAAAGAGATAAGGAGAGTTTGGTCACTAGTTCAGAGGTAATCGATAAGTTGAACCGTTCACGCGACGCTTTTAAAGTATGCTCAAAGTACAAAAGTTAGTTAAGTTCAATGTTTAAATGTAACCCAATGTTGAATTGCTCATGGCATGAAAGTTGTGTAAAAGGTGAAAATGCCAAAAACCCTACAGGTTAACACCAATAATATTGAAATAACTACTTACTTCTTGGAAAACAGCAAGTTTAGCTTCTTTAATATCTTGATTCTGATATTCTCCAGAACTGGCCCATTTTATAGCATTTTCAAAACTACTTAGTGTTTTGCGAGGATAAGGATCACTTAACAAAACAACAACAATCGATTTTTTAGAGAGAACGATTATGAAATTTATTTATCTTAAAAAAAAAACAAGTAAATTAAGATATTATACATATAGTAACGAGTCAAACTAACACTAGTACTTTTACAAACACACTAAACACATTCTCCCAAAGGAAACTGGATGAATTAAAGGACAAGTGAGCATAAAACCACATACGCATGTGAAGTCTTATGTTAGCTTGGTTAATGTGTCACGAAGAAAAATCTTCAAAAGCTCGTTTTTTGGTATCCATTTTTAATGAACAAACATCAACTTATACTCTCATACAGTGAGCGAATTCTTATGTATTCTTCAAACCGGTATGCTGAATGTGGCACTGACATTACGGCAACTGAATTCACTCACTTTTTTAATGACAAAGAAGTTCGTTTACTCAACCTGAATATTTCGATTCTCAAAACTAAGTCCCAAAATAGGTGTTTCATTAAAAAGATCTATCAAACGTAGTCATCAGTATAATCTTTCAATATTTAAAACGCTTCAGATTTCAGATTTATGGAACTCAAAACAGTACTGTAATTCATACAAAGCTGTAAGTATAAAATTATTTAATGACCAACGAAATGTAACTTACCGATAGGAGTAAAACAGAAAAGCTTCCGGTCTGGCAATCGCCCCTCCACCATAAGCACCGCCTTTTTCCCTGTAAATCAAGCAAACATCGAATCCATATAAAAGTGAGCTGAAATTTCTAGAAATAAACTAGCTGACATAAGCGAAAATAATCCAAATTTGAAAGAACTGTCACATCACTGAATAACAAAGAGCCTTCTACAGGAAACTGCACAATTCGGAGGATAAACTACCGGAAATACGTTAGACTAGTTTATCAATGATGCGACGGATACTTCGCAGTATAACTCATAGAATAAAGTAAAACCATAAAAAAGTTTTGGAGCCAATGGATTACAGGTATGATTTGTTGAAATTAGTCCTACATTTGTAAAATTGACGTAGTGATTAAACATCGCTACCGTGATGACCTAGTTGCGACATTTGCTCTATTTGGTCTTACTATTCTCGGCAAGCTGACTGGAGAAATGCAAGACAAAAATCAGTTACTAACGGTCTGAAGTCATACTGCTGACTGTACTGAAGTACGAGGAAGTAAGACGTTTCCCTCGGATAATCAACATTTGAAGGAACACTACCTCACAAAGAAAGATGTATGGAGAAAGGACGGTAATCAAATAGTAAACTTTACCTTACTCCACGAATTTTAACCTGAATGATCCTGGAAGCAGCCGAAATTAACTTCCTTATTTTCTAACATTTCTCTATCCATACTACTAACGTTTTTCATGACTTTTTTCGCCTTACTCTAAGGATTCCAGTTCATGAAGTGCTTGGCTTCCTGAGACCGCACCTCTTTCAAGTAATACAATAGGTTTTACTAACTCGGACTTCAAAACCTAATTTCTTCCCCGAAACTCACACGATTGAAGTGTCATATTTCACTTAGTCTTATAGCTCGTGTTTTGCCGACGTGGCTGATAATTCCCATGGAGTTGCTGGCACATGCAAATCCCAGAAACGGAACAGGCGTTTCTGAACTATATTCTGGCAGACAGTTGCTCTTGCGCCGTTCGACTAAACGGAATAGTAACAATTTTAAAGGATAAAGAGATGTAACCGATTGGAAGTCTACTTACTATCCCACTAACTTTTGGTCAAATGAACAGAAGTTTCTGGATCTTCAAGAAGGCTAGAAGCTGAGATTTGTAAGTCGTAGCAGGTGATTATAATCCCTAAGTAAACGGGTTACACAAGAATTAAAGATTTTTAAATGGATTGATTGGAGAATCAGTTAAGAGTACATTTAACATGATCATCTGATACAACTTAAAAGTGTAGTGACAAAATCCGTTTCAACTATCATGATTAATAGGTAGAGTCGAATGCAAACGAGACGAAAAAGATAGGGGTGGTAGTTAACACGAAATCACTGTTAGGACATCATACAGAATGATCGTTAATGAAATGATGGGGATGTCGAGATGAGTTGTTGCGGACGCTGGATTCCGAAAGTTAGTCAAAGAAATCAACTTTAATCAAATTTTAATTTTGTGTTTATCGTGAAAAAATCTCCCACGTTCTTATTTTTTCACTATTCTCGCTGACATTATTAGTATTACAAACACCTTAAGTGACAATAGTTGCTTGTTATGTTTTTCTTCCTCTAAATGCAAAAATGGCTTTATCACCTTGTCTTTATTACCTAGATTGTTCATAAGGAGAATAGTTAGTTATATTAACCGCTTTACTTATCATGGAAGTCTCGTCAACAGTAAGGAGTCAAAAAGCTCTGATCCAAAACTACCACCTAGTTGAGGTCCTAGTAATGAACCTCGTCACTGGATAGAGAGAGTGGATGATATAACTCAGAATCGGTCTCTAAACCTTGAGTTACAGCACTTCTTCACACATACCCATTAATTAAACGAAATTCGTTATACGTAGTCGTCATCATTTACTGTCACTAATTCTACTAGTTTGACATTCATACCCATAATTTCAAGTCGTTGTGCTGATGTGGCGTGCGGACTTCGGTTGATGGACATTTGTCACAGGATCTAGGTTTTTTGTGACTGGTTAACTGATTCTGTTGAGAATTCTATCGGTCTTAGTTTAAAGAACCAAAATAATTACGTAATAAGAACGTAGAGATTAATTAAAATTCAAGTATGCGTAAAATAGGACATAGTAAATATGTGTATTGTTTGTACGATTAGAACCAGGTGCACTAAGTTTAGCAAGATGTCACCATACTCCAATTTGATCTTGGATCGAATGCATTCCTGAAACAACCTCCCATCTATGAAGTACGTCAACAAACGAATCTATTCAAATACAGAATTAGAAGATAAATAATTTCATTCGACATTCCCAACCTCTAATAATAGACTTACACAAAACTTACCGTATTTCGCGATGTAAGTACTTGAATGATAGTAGATGAGCCAAAACACGATAACTAAAGAAACAGAGCAAAGAAATCGTGAGATAAGGTGACTACTGAATTAATTTCGGTGAGAACATTTGAGGAAAACAATCGATGCAAAACTTTGCTTTTTCCCCACCTTGCATAATCTTCAGAATCATAACTTGGGGCTTCGATTGCCTTAGCAGCATAATGCACTGTATAAGGCATTGCAAAAAACGTATTCCGGGAAATATTTGGAAAAATAGTTGGATTTTGAGAATCTTCAGTTAATGAACTGGGCGATACTTGTGATAAGTCACTTAGGAATCCATCGAGATGCTTCAAACTTGACGTTAAACCATCAGCTTCCCCGTGAAGACTGAATCTAAAAAATAATAAAGGAATACCACAGGATACTGATTTGTAAAAATGTGACATATACTTTAAGTTATATAATTTATATCGGTTTTCTTTTACAAACTCAAAATAAAGTCCTAAAACTTCAACAATTACAATTATATCAAGTAAAAATTTCTACAATCAAGCGAAGAAATTTTTTCGAAATCATTTACTAAGTGATTGTACAATTGGATTAGAAGTTATTTAGTACGTACAATCCTTTGATAGAGAAGCTTCGTGTTGTATTATTTGAAAAATAATTGGAATTCATTTAAAGAGACAAGCAAAAATTAATGTAGTAGTTGACAGACTGTAGATGACTGTCCATTCAACGAATATATTGACATAACAGAGTTTCACGAACTGTACTAAACTTAACCGTATTTGAAGTTTACGATACAAGTCAAGTGATCACAAACTTCATCTGACATAATATGTAATTTAGAGCAAGGAGTGAGAAATGCTGATGAAATTCAGTATAATTGACAAGATTTACTATTTCGAACAAATACATATGTACGCCTGAGTTTACAAATAGTTAAGTCAACTTCCTCAAGACTAATAGTAGTTCGATAAAATAAGATATTATTTTCATTACTCACTTACTTACGCCTGTTACCCCCAATGGAGCATAGGCCGCCCACCAGTTTTCGCCAACCAACTCTGTCCTGGGCTTCCCTCTCCAGTTCTGTTCAATGTTTGTTCATTCCACTCATATCTCTCTATTTCCCTGCGTAATGTGTTCCTTGGCCTTCCTCTTTTCCTTTTGCCTTGAGGGTTCCGTGTGAAGGCTTGTCTAGTGACGCAGTTAGGTGCTTTTCGTGGTGTGTGTCCTATCCACTTCCACCGCTTCTTCCTGATTTCCTCCTCCAGTGGAATCTGGTTTTTTTTCTCCCACAGTACGTTGTTGCTGATCGTGTCTGGCCAACGAATCCGAAGTATTTTGTGTAGACAACTGTTAATAAACACTTGTATCTTCTGGATGATGCCTTTCGTAGTTCGCCAAGATTCCGCTCCATACAGTATAACAGTCGAGACATTTGTATTGAAAATCCTGATTTTGGTTTTGGTTGAAAGTTGTTTGGAGTTTTAGAAATTTTTCAACTGTAGAAATGCAGCCCTTGCTTTGCCAATCCGCGCCCTCACATCTGCATCGGATCCACCTTTCTCGTCTATGATGCTGCCCAGATATGTAAACGTGTTAACGTCCTCCAAAGCATCTCAATCAAGAGTGATTTGGTTGGTGCATGTTGTGTTGCATCGGAAAATTTTGCTTTTTCCTTTATGCATGTTGAGACCTACTGCTGCAGAGGCTGCTGCTACACTGTTCGTCTTCTCTTGCATTTGTTTTTGCATGTGAGATAGAAGAGCCAGGTCATCTGCGAAGTCCAGATCGTCCAGCTGCGTCCGAACAGTCCATTGGATACCATGCTTCCCTCCAGATGTCGACGTCTTCATAATCCAGTCGATCACCAGGAGAAAGGGTGAAAGTAAGCAACTTTGCCTCACACCGGTCTTCACCTCAAAAGAGTCTGTCAGCTAACCTCCGTGCACGATTTTGCAGTTGAATCGATCATAAGAATTCCGTATGATGTTAACTATTTTCTCAGGCACACCGTAGTGTCGAAGAAGCCTCCACAGTGTTTTCCTATCCACGCTATCAAATGCTTTCTCGTAGTCGATGAAGTTGATGTAGAGTGGTGAGTTCCATTCAATTGATTGTTCCACAATGATCCGTAATGTAGCTATTTGGTCAGTACACGATCGATCCTTACGAAATCCGGCCTGTTGATCTCGAAGATGGGCGTCTACGAAGTCCTTGATTCTGTTTAACAATACTCTGTTGAAGACTTTGCCTGGTATTGAAAGAAGAGTGATGCCCCTGTAGTTCTCACACTTGCTCAGATCGCCTTTCTTTGGTGTTTTGATCAGGTATCCTTCTTTCCAATCTGATTGTACTTGTTCCTGCTGCTTTGCCGCTCTTGATTTGTCTGATGGCCATACTGATCTCCTCAATCGTAGGTGCGCAAATATTAATTGGGAGGTCCGTGGATGCTGCTTCGATGTTGGGTGTGTTCAGTGAACCTGGTCGTTTCAAAAGTTACTTAAAGTGCTCTACCCACCTATTTTGCTGTTCTTCAGTGTTGCTAATTACTTTACCTTCCTTGTTTTTCACTGGTCGTTCTGGTTTACGATAGTTTACGGCGAGCTTCTTTGTTGTTTCGTACAACTGTTTCAAGTTTCCGTCTCTTGCAGCCTTTTCCGCCGTCATTGCCAGATCTTCCAAATATTTTCGTTTGTCAGCTCTGATGCTATTCTTTACTTTTCTGTTTGCTTCTGTATATGCTGCTTGTGCGGTAACTTTCTCTGCTCTTGTTCAGCTGACATCGTTACTGCCTTCTTGTTCCTCCTTTCTTCAATTTTTTCAAGAGTATCAACAGAGATCTATTCCTTGTGATGGTACTTCTTGTGACCCAGAACTTCGTGACATGTTGAAGTGATTGCCTCCTTGATCCCTTTCCAATTGTTCTCCAATGTTGCTTCCTCTCCATTGAGTAGATCCTGAAAGGCCTGGAACCTATTGGTGAGGGCTAACTTGAATTCGTTGAGTTTTACGGTATCCCGAAGAAAGGCTGTATTAAACTTCTGTGATGTTGTCTGCCCCGTTGTCCAGTGCTTCTTTAGCTTCAGTTTCATTTTGGCGACCAGCAAATGGTGATCTGAAGCTATATCAGCTCCTCTCTTAGTTCTCACATCCTCCATGGTCCTTCTGAACGTTTTGTTGATACAGATATGGTCAATTTGGTTTTGAGTAGTGTGGTCCGGTGAAATCCATGTGGCTTTGTGAATGCGTTTGTGTGGGAATATTGTGCCACCGATGACCAGTTTGTTGAAGGCACATAGGTTTGAGATATTATTTTCATGGTAAACAATAATTAGTCTGACTTGCAATGTTGAACTACTCGATGTTCACACACCCGAAAGGAATTAACGATAATTAAGATAATTTAATAAATAATCAAGAATCCCAAAACACGTCTCACTTGCATGACGTGGACAAAATTTGATTGACCACATTTAATGTAAATTAAAATTGATAAGAAACTGGATTTAGCAAAATTATTAGATTCAATAAAAATAAAAATGAATAAATAGATTGGACTCAACAACTCAACAACTATGTGTTACGCTTCATAACAATCCAGGATCAATAAAGAAGTTGAGAGGAAGAATCAATTCAATATCGGAACATATTATAAGTGAGTGATCATTCAAACGGATTTCTACTATACAAAAGGAGAATACAAAATGACTGTTCTGAAACACACACATGAACTTACTTCAGTCTTCTAGGTGAAGTGATATAACTCCAGATAGCCTTCATACGTTCGGTAATCTTCGAAAGGGCATTACTTCTTTTATCACTTTCTAGTCCGATTTCACCGGCAATATGTTGCATGATTCTAGCTTGTTCCATCCCTGACCAAAGTTCACGAGTAAGGAGAGTTGATGAAAGACTGGCAGCTGCGCGACACATCGCGAACTGGTGAGCTTATAAAAGGTATATACACCAGAATAACGAAAGCTATTAAAATATCAACACAATATTAGTCATCGTTAAATATTGTTGCAGTTAATGTTTTCAAAATAACTTTTAATAGCTGGTAAATTCCGAAACCTTATACACAGCAAAGAAAAACATGAACACAAGAATTTGAAATGATTTACTCATGCAAAAAGCTGGAGTCAACATTTTGCACAATTACGAATGAGTACGAAGGAAATTTAACAATAAAAACTTGTTAGAAATATTTTTGTTAACATCGTATCAACCAATTTATAACCTGAATTATAATGGTGATATGACGTGGCAACTTGGACCGACGCACGTGTGTACAAGGTCTTATGTTGCTTTTTGAATGAGAACTAAATGAAGAACTTATCGTTCATCCTGAATGATCAAAATCAATTAAATTCAGTTATACGAAAATGACAATAAATTAACAACTCCTTAAAACTAGAAAATGCAAATATGTATCGTTTGTAGTTTACCATTAGGTTGCATAATTATAAATATTTGATTCAGATCAACCCTGTACTTCTAACGTCAAAAGTGACTTTCTCGGTGTTCATAAAGTTCCTAACTGCTGTGTTGGGATGTTTTTACCGAATCGGTGACTTTCCTAGAGTATATGTAATCAGGTTACAAAGAAGTAATGCTTAGAACCGCAATAACTCACATTTTCACTAATACTGCTCACAATAACACAAACTCAAGAAAACATTTATAACCTTATAACCATATTACTTACCTGAATCCGAAATTGCATTGGCTGACCATTCACCTGCAGCCGACATTTGAATTAGAGTTGATAAACGATCTAGATCCAACCAATCTGGGGAGCGGAAAAGTTTTGACCAAAGTTCAAAGAAATTAGGTATTTTAGATTCAAGACAATAACTGGATAAGTGAATTTGACGAGATGCAGACGTGAATTCAGTCTTTGAACAAGATGGTATCTTCGGTGTAACAAAAGGAGAAGCAATGAAACCACCTGTGTGTAGCTCAATGGCTTGGTTCATCTCCGAATAAGACAGTCCATCTGCTCCCAATCTGAAGAGCAAATAACGTACAGAAGATTTTGTAATTTTAGTAAACGATACTATACAGAGAAATACAATTGGAAGGGAAACTGAACGATTTAAAATGGGTTAGGATTTCAGAAAAACTTCTAACTACTGTGTTTTACATTACGAGGTTGTGAAGATTTTCAAGTTAACATTTTTGAAACTATGAATCGATCAATGTTAGACCACCATTAGAAACCTGGAAGCCCTGGACGGCCGATTCCTCCTGGTATGGGACTGATTAGAGTGCGCATCCACGACTCCTGCACCCCGCAGGATTCGTACCCAGGACCTTCGGTATTGTGCGCGAACGCCTAACCTCTGGACCACTGAGCCGGTATCTAACGGTGTTAATGTCTAACTAAACAAATTTTTCAAACATTTTACTGCTGTGAAGATGTATATACCGAACTTCAAGCAAAACAACTTGTATATATTGATATAATACTTTAAAGCAACAAAGCATACCTGGTAAACAACGAACAAAATAGTGGGACGTAGGATAATAATTCACAAGGTAAATCCTTCAAATCAGCCAAAGCATGAAAATAAACTAGACCATTAGTTGCTGCTTCGTTTAACTGGACGGAACAATCAGATGCTAAACGTTAAATAAATAAAAAGAAATTTTATGAGTACTTGAAAAACATTTATCATTTACAAATATCATTTTAAATAACGAAATTCTATGTATTTTATTTGCTAGTGAAATAACAGTAAGGGGCAGTGAATGATTTCGTTGACAAAGAGTAAATTTTGCACTACTACAAACTGGAGTAATGATTATATCTCAGTTTCTACATTAATTGTGAAACTGGTGTAAAAATAATAACAATAATAATAATAATAATAGTCTGGGACAACCTAAGAGCAATATCCTGTTTCATTTTCGAGTGCTGCTGGGATTTTAGGGTCGCTCGACAACTCTCGTATATGTAAGTTTAAGATATTTATTTTTGACAGACCTGGAAAAGAAACCTAGATTAGGACTAGCGGTTTTGTCAACATGTAATCTTGGATTCAAACCCCATCGTTAGCTACATACTTTCTAAACATCATATCCAGTATCCAAAATCCATGAGATAATAAGGGTTGGTATTTCTAATACTAAGATTGGTGATAAACATCAGTGGAGATTTTCTTTACATGTTGGAAATTAGTTAATATTCCCAAAATTCCGGTAAAGTAAGAAGCATAACTTAATTCTCTGATGTTAAGTCAATGAATACCAAACTGTTTTACTATATTTCGCTGGTTTTCTACCCCTAATACTGCTCAGAGTTGTTCCACGGTATGCAAACATTGCTTTGAAAACACCTATGATGAATAGCCTGTAGCCTATATATATCTACTTTCATAGACCAGGTTACGCACACAAAGTAATGGAGAGTGGAACCCTGGGATGTTAATTTACTTTTGTTGCGAGACGGACATCCATGTTACGGGCGAAGTGACTAAAGTTGGCGAAAGCCGATTGTACTGATTAAGTAAAACACTAACCCACCAAAAGAGGTGAAACTTTCACAATAAGTGAATTGATTGACGCTGTTAATCACGTTGTTTTATATAACCAACCAAGGGGATAATACAGGTAAATCTTAAAGCAATATTTGGTATTTAGAGGAAGAGAGACGTATCGCAAGCATGTTTGGATTGTTATTCAAGGTAATCAGATGATTGCATTATTTCAGTGTCTTTATTGTACATAACTAGGTTACCTACTACAAAATTGAAAAACCGCAAAAATTCTATTTTCAAATTTTATGAATATTGAAGAGATTATATCTTGGTTAATCACATACTTTGAGTTAGTGTAAACGGTTCTGGTCTGCATTCCAAAGGTACGTCAAAAATATCAAGACACGGTAAACATGAAACATCTTCTTCCTGATTTTGTTTTTCAAGGAGTTGACGAGCTATTTTTCAAATAAGAAAAATATATAAGATCAAGTTGATTTAAAATTACGGAAATTTAAGCCCTATATTGCGACGAAATAGTTGTTTAGTGCTAAGTGGTTTTCAATGATTGTCTAAGGTCAATTTAGGATAAGAAAAAACTACAAAATTACAAATGTCAACAATCGTCACAAATCCCTATACTAGAGGACAATAAGTTGTTATTTTAAAATTATTGTATATACCTATTAATCAACCGAATTTAAAAATATATACAGGCGTTTATAGTTTTTTTTGAATACAAGTAATGAGACTCACTATACAAGTAACCTTTAAACTTGTTACAGTTATACACAATATGGAACTTGAGATGAACAAGTTGCATTTGTTTTAAAAATTGGAATAACTGTCAAAAAGTATATGTATCTGTGAACGGATTGCTTATTTACACAAACTAATAAAAACCTAACTATATCACTCGGTAGATATTAATCAACCAACTATTGGCTAATTTATTATGTATATCAGTTAGTACAAATAGTATGATAGTTTATCGTCATTACACCGATGATGGTAGAACATCCGACTAAAATGCTGGTAAGTGCATTAGGATCAATTCACAGGACAGCAAGTATCCAGATGACTGATAATAAACGTACCCTATTGTGTGGACTTATATGTCGAACACACTTGGCTTTTCCCAGCCTTTGGATAAATTAATTAATCCACTCTTTTCGAGTTCTTCATACGTATTTCGACTTTGTTAGTTATTTACCCATAAGCTTGGTTGATTTACATGAGTGCGTATGTACATTGTTTACTTAGCTTCTTAATTATTTAGCTTATTATGTCTGACCATAAGCACATCGATGACTCATCACATGGAGTTGGCTTACTCGCTTAATTCACTTCGCTTTCCATCCTCATGCTTGTCAAACACAACCAATTCAAGTTAGATAACCCACAGCAAAGAGTTCCAAGCCTTTCATGAACCACTCAATCAAGAGGGAACCACCATGGAGAACAACTGGAAAGGGGTCAAGGAAGCAATAACTCTTACATGTAATGGGGTTCTAGGCCACAAGAAGCACCATCACAAAGAGTGGATTTCTGTTGATACTCCGAATCGGATTCAAGAAAGGAAGCACAGAAAGACAACAATAAACAGCAGTTGCATAAGCGAAAAAAAAGATCAAAGCGCAGGACGAATACATAGAAGGAAAGAAGAAGGTGAAGATGAGTATTAGAGCTAATAAACAGAAATATGTAGAAGATCTAGCAACAATAGCTGAAAAAGCTGCAACAGAAGGAAAAATGAAACAGCCATACGATACAACGAAGAATTTTGCTGAAAACTATGGTAAATCAGAACGACCAGCGAAAAACAAGGAAGGCATTGAAGAACAGCGAAACAGGTGGGTAGACAACATTGAGGAGTTCTTCAACAGACCGTAGTAGTGTCGATCCATATAAAGCGCCTCTAAACAATTATGCCGGCTTGAAGAAAGTGTCATACAATAGCAGTGATCTCAAACATACAGTGCAACATCACAATTGTGACGATAGGGGAACCTTGTAACGTGAGACCAGGAAGCCAGGATATGAAAATGTTCAACAATATGAAACAAGAATTCAAAAAAATGATGGTAGTAGTAGTCCCCTGGTACCTCCGTTGCACATAGTACGAAAAAAGAATGAACAGTACAGACTATGTGGAGATTATAGAGCATTCAATAAACAAACCCTGGCAGACAGATATCCAGTGCCACATATCCACGACATCAATAACGACATGGAAAGTGCCACGATCCATTCGAAGACTAACCTTGTTGGAGCTTATCGCTATATTCACGTGACTCATGAGAGTATACCGAAAACGGCCGTAATCACTCCATCCGGATTATTTGAGTCTTTGCGAAAGCCTTTCGGATTAACTAATGCGACTCAATCCTTCCAGAGATTCATCGACCAGGTCGTTACATGTTTGTCAGGAGAAGTATATGCATACATCGACAACATACTTGTAGCTAGTGCTACAGAGGAAGAACATCTACAACAGCTAAGACAGTTGTTCAATAAACTACGTGAACATGGTATCGCCAGCAACGTTGAGAAATGTGAATTTGGAAAGGAATTATTGCAATTTCTAGGTCACAATAAATTCTCAAGGTATCACACCAGTTCCAAAAGAAGTTGGAGCTATTCGTGATTATCCGTTGCCCAAATCACAAAAGAAATTACGACGATTCCTGGGATTAATCAACTATTAAAGATGATTCATTCCAAACTGCGCAACAAAATTGCACCTGTTGACAGACACTTTGCGAGGACGTGCCCGGACATTTCCTCTGTCAGCAGACGCCATGCAGGCATTCGAGAACGCTAAGCGCGTGCTACATGAAAGACAATGTTAGTACGACGAAAAAGCGAAGTTTTATTAGCTGTCATGGCTGACGCGTCAAACACCACGGTTGGAGCTGTATTACAGCAGGTCATAATACAGACAGACAGATACAACGCAGAACTTCGTACGTAAGTACATCACTTCAGGTTGCCATACCACATCAGCAAAGAGACGCAACTGTAAGTTCAAATTCAAGAGTGATAGCGATAGTAGAAGTATTAGCAGTAATGGAGAAAATTATAGTTCGAAGATATGATTCGATAAGTACAATTCATTGAGATAAATTTAGAAGGAGAAAGATGGAGATAATGAGGAATTCAGAAGGTTAGAATTAGAGAGAACACAAAGAGTGGATGCACTTGCACCATTGCAAACGTTTTCAGCCACGTCCTTCAAGGTCTCTAACCATCGGTGACTTTCGTCTCGCGGACCACAACCACAACATGACTCAGTCCACTTGTCAGGGACTTCATGGATTTGCGACATGTTTTGGTTTGGCCGCCCCTTGCTTTCTTCCACCCTACTCCTACACCACAAAGCATAGCTCGTCGCGGCAGTCGATGGTGTCCCAACCACCTCAACTGATGAAGCTTCAATGCTTCATCTATTGATTTGCCATCCATACCTAGAACTCGTGTCCTAACGACAGCATCGCTTATACGGTTGTCCCCATGTGTCGTTTACGAACTGCTGTAAACGACACATGGGGACCGATTTCATATTCTTCAAAGAGATTAAGTCCCACTCAAACGAGGTATGGTACGTTCGGAAGAGAACTGCTAGCAATTTACTTGGCAATAAAGCATTTTCGACATATGCTCAAGGTTACCGTTTTCAAAATGTATACAGATCAGAAACCCTTCGCGAATGCATTAAACGCCAAGCAGGACAACTATTCGGCAAGGGAAATTCGACAATTAGAATTTATTTCGCAATTCACGTCTAGCATACAATATACCGAAGGCCATAATAACGAAGTAGCATATGCATTATCAAGAATGATGACTAACACTCTCCTTCGAACCGACATTGACTATCACAAACTTGAAGCATTGCAAAATATGGATGTTGAGCTAAGTAAATTAAGACCATCCAATACAACTTTTTCGATATTCCGAGAAACTTCATTCAGCAAGGTAAGCAACTACATACATTGCCTAAGAGAACACATGAATGATCTAAGAATAAAGCTTCCGAAGAAAAATCAACATCGGGTATATATTCCGAAGCAACTGAACGACAGTATCCATGTATTTATCAGAAGGGATACGGTGCGAAGTCCCCTACAACCGACCTACGATGGTCCGTTTAAGGTGATCAGAAGAAATGACAAAACTATCACGGTAGACAAAGCTGGAAAAACTGATGTAATTAGTGTCGACTGAGTCAAACCACCGAACATTTGAGTGTGTTCATACTTAACTTGGTTAAGTCTTTTGATAACCTTAATTGAGTTATTTGTATAGCAATAACATATATGTACCACTGGTTTTGATTATTGTCGGGCTTGTATGAACAGATATGACTGAAGATTGCTTACCGCCTGCATATACATTCATCCTATTCGCTTTAATACTAGCTCCTTAAAGATTTCGATGACTCATCCATTTTTCGATATGTGTATAATTTAATCTTATTCATCCACTAACTTGCTCGCTTGCTTGCCATTTAGCACTCACATATTAATTTTTGCCTCGTGTGCATGTTTGGTGGTCTATTTGTGGTGCGCCAAATAAACGTATTCAATACTTCGTATTCCTTTTTTGGTATGTAAAACTGAGAGGCATTATTTAGCTACGGTTGTCTGGACGAGCATCATACGAAGTGTAAGAACATAGTGAATACCTGACCGCCACGAAACTTGTGAGGCACCAGACAAATAACGCTTGAGGGAGCTTTGGATGTAGGAACACTTACATAACTGCGCAGCATCACTGATGAGAAAGGTGGATCTGACGAAGATGTGAAGGCACAGATTGGCAAATCAAGGACAGTATTCCTACAATTGAAGAATATCTGGAAATCAAAACAAAATCCTACGAACAACAGAGTCATAATTTTTAATGAAAACGTCAAGACAGTTCTCTCTGCTGTATGGGGCGGAAACGTGTAGAACTATGAAGACTGTCATCCACAAGATACAAGTTTTTTTCACAGTTGTCTACGGAGAATACTTAGGATATGTTGGCAAGACACCATTAGCAACAACCTACTATGGGAGAGGACAAACCAGATTGCAGCCGAAGATGTAATCGGGAAAAAGCGCTGGAAGTGGATAGGACACATTGAGGAAAGCATCCAACTGCGACACAAGACAAGCCCTCATTCGGAATCCTCATGGCCAAAGGAGAAGAGGAAGACCAAATAACACACTACGCCAAGAAATGGAGACAGGCATGAGAAGAATGAACAACAGTTAGACAGAACTAGAAAGGAAGGCTTAGGACAGAGTAGGTTGGAGAATGCTGATCAGCCGTCTATGCTCCATTGTGGATAACAGACGTAAGTAGGTAAATAAATAAATTACCACCGGAAATCGAAAAGAAGTGGATTGGAAGACCACTGTGGATAAACATCTCATCAGTTATTTGAAGAAAAATCTCTCTGACAGGTTGAAATAGATATTTTGAGCTGTGATATCCTAATGCCTGAAGCACTGACTTACGTAGGAATAACAATCAAGAAACATAGGAACTTGTATCTCACCCTTTAATACTAATTTTTCTCTTTCCATCGGTGTTATATTCTTTGTCAAACGATTCAAATTTTCTTCATCCTTCCTGGCTTCTACGGACTTCCAGTTCGGATCTGGACGCATTAAAGTTGTCAGTTTATGTTTGTTATCCTAGGTGTGATATAACACCCGAATACGATAAATACAAAATATGAACAACAAAACAGTATCAATAAAAATTAAAAGGTTAACAACTCTCTTTATTCCAGACAATTAAAAAATACTAAGCGAAAAACACCCATCGCATCTCAAAATACAGGGTATTAAACACGTAGCATAAAATAATTACACTTTTCGGGCGTGAGTATCACGGCTTAAAAACCATGACCTTAGAAATGCTTTTTTTCTTTCGATATTATGGTTAATGAAGTTTCTTTTATCTATAATAAAAGCAGTAGTCGCAACTTCACATTGTTATTAATTCATCGTTTCATTTGCTATTATACACCACCAGAACTACTAGGTTTCCTCATATATCAAAATAATGTGGCTACAGATAAAGCTTAAAACCATACTAATATCAGTAGTAAAAAATATTACACGGGATAACATTCAGAACATGACTGAACATATGACTGTTGATATTAAACAAATATCCTCAAACTTGCAGCTTTTTAGCGTAGAAAAACCCAGGAGACCTTTTAGCATTAAAAAAGGGGAGTGAAAGACGGTATGTATGAACATAGTAAACACAGTACACATACCAGAAAGAATTGTTGAACAAAATTCTGAAGCATAACCGGATCTTTACTCCATTCCTGGCGAAATCGATCTATATTAACACCAATTTTCAGAACCTCATTCAAATCAACACCGTGATTAACAGAATTAGATAAGTTTAGGATTAGATTTAAACCAAAACGAGCGGACTCATGACGGATTGCTAACTCGTACTGATGAAGAGTAGCTTCAACATGTTCCACTGGAAAACCGTCCCTATGAGTGTAAAAAATAATTATTAGACAAAAAAAACATTTGGTGAGGTATGAAAAATAATAGTTAGTGTAAAGTAGTCGCAATAAAGATCATAAGCTGAAACAATTACGGAATTAGACCGTAGCTGCAACCTTGACGTGCTGGTCGGGCTTGCCTATCGTGATGACCCAACCGAGCTATACTGGCTGGAACATATATTCCTGCAGGTCCTACCATGCCAGGCTAGTCGATTGGAGAACGATGAGACTAAAGGCAGCTACCCAAGGTCTGAGGGCGAAGTCGTACTGCTGACTGCAGAGGGGTGTGACAGCAGTAAGGTGTTTCCCTCGGACAACCAGCATCTGCAGCGATTCTGCCTTCTCACAAGGAAGGAAGGGTTAGAAAAGGTCGACACCAAAATTGCCACACTTAACCCTACCTCACGGGTTTCCGTATTCAGGGGTAAGGGTGCCCAATAAGGGCTTGTAAGAGCGGAGCTAATACTCAAAAAACCTTTCATATAAAGGCCGTGTGTGACCGGCCTCAAGCAGTTTTCCCTTGGGCTCTGCGTTCACGCTCCCAGGTCTCTAAGACCGACCCTTATCTACCTTCTTTTTCAGGTCCCTCAAGAAACAGCCGGGAAGTGATAACCGCCCTCATACACGTAACAACACGCGAGACCGAATTGGTTAAAATGAAATCCTTCCTACGCCCCCTAATATCTCTCCCATCTCCAGGACTAACTCTTCTCACATTCCTTTATCACACTGCACAGCTAATGCAAACGATGCGAGTTCACGAAACGTCATTTCTGGTCTCTTGAAACCCCGTTGGAGCATTTAATGTACGGACATTGTGTCAAATAGGGCAACAGGCATCATTAGCTAGGACTTTAGAATCTTGCTCAATCGATGTATGCTGCGTCTCGGAAACGCGCGTGCAGGATCCTAGTTAAGTCACTAATTTGATTTCTCCTTGTCAAAATAAAAACGGGGCTCGATCTACTCTCCGTGTATCCAGTTTGAAGCATACTGGACATGGGAAAAACACCGCAAGGAAACCTGTTAGGGTTCTACCTAATGCTAATAAAGCTAAATATATATTTCAGGAACAACTAGAAAAAACCATGTAAATGATTCCCATCCGTAGGCAGGTTGAAATGATATCTAAAAGGCTGTGGAAACAGCACTGATATCTTCTAGTAAGAAGAAGAAGGGAGAAGTAGAGGATCTACGGAACTGATGGATGCTCATAAACTTGTCCCACCTGGCTACGTTGCGATTGATTGATTGAACCTATCCTGTTGGAAAAAATCATTCAGTCTTTTAGATTAAGACCTCCCTAACCTATAATTCTGTGAGCATTTTTTGATAGATAATACTTATTTGGGCGTTTTTGAAGACTTTAACAACCGGAACTGAGGTTTTACGTAACCGTAAATTGAAATTTAATAGAGTAACTCCGAACATTGATTTCTACTACATGAAGAAACATTTTCATACAAAAATAAATATTACTAAGAGCCAATGGAGGGATTGCAGAAGAGCATTGATTGATTTCGGGAAAAAATACATAAGTTTTCGTTTACAAAAGATATATATAGCAAATACATGTTAGTTTGATAGTGAATGTTATCGTAGCTATTTATTTTGCTGTGTATATAGTGAGAACGAGGCAACAAGTCGAAAACATCACTAGACGTGAAGCTTACATAATTTACTACTTGAGTATACATTACTTCAGTCAAGATTCATGTTCCGAAAAAAATGCCAACTTTATAGCATAGATAAAAATGTAAATGTAAATCAAATGAATAAAATAATGGTTTATTTACAACAAACAGACAAATTTGTTACTGAAATGACACCAATAAATGAATAGTTCCAAAATAATGACAAAACTTACCGAACGACTTCAGACAATATATCATTGACCATACGGGGAAATTTTTCAAGATCATTAGCTCGAACACCTTGTACGCCAACATGAAAACTTGTGGTACGAGTACTACGATCAATTCCGTTGAAACTGCCAATCCAGTCTAGACCATATCCCGACTCAATTAAACCGCGATATAAGGGCGCGTTATCACCATTTAACAACAAATTACAAACTATTCCAAGCACAAAATTTTTGTAAACATTGCAAATGCTGAAATAAGAGCAGAATATGGATTAATTCACATCCAACTCATGGAATATACGATTTAATAACCAAGGGACGATTAGATGCCAGTTCAGACTGTCTGGTCGCGGCCGTTCGACTGCTACAACTCAGAATCAGTCAGAATAGGGTAGATGCATTTACGTTTAGTCTTCATTTAGATCCCCAGTTTAAAAATAATCTCATGCTTTTCTTTATATAACATGCATCAATAATTTCTCCAATCATAAAATCTACATCAATTTTTTTCTACTACTATTACTAACGATATTATAACTTGGGTATTTGTCTTGATAAATTTATTTCTCTATGTAAATGTGGTATAGCAACCAGAACCAATACAAATACATGCTAGGCTCCGAACTGTGTATAGCTGACTAGTGAACACCTCCATATGGTGATGATCTACATGTTTATATGGTGATTCAAGAAGTTAAACTAGAATAGTAGCACATTCACATGAGAAAAACTGATACTTATGCAGCCGCTGAAAATCTGACATTTTGTTCAGTTTTATGAGGATCAGGCGAAGATTTTGAATAAACTTGACACAGTTCATTCATGTAAACCTACCACAAACTACAAAATTATTATAATTAAATGGCTGGTGGTAGTTCGTAAACACTGTAGACATATTTTTGTCGCCTCGTTCTAATCATGAAAAGAAAGCTAAAAAACCTAGACAGGTGACTAGATTAAGTCGGTTAAGCTGTTACTAGTTGCATGACTAAATTAGGATATAACATTGCAGAATTTGGTGGTGACCATGACGACTATCTACTTAAGTGATCGGTTAAGGCGCAAGTTTATTTACTTAAAGCAGTTACACTTTTGACAAACTAAAACTACAAACGATGGTAGTATAAATGCTAATAGGCATTTATATGCGACCAATAACAGGATACAAACTCGTTTATATAAGTAGCGTTTTGAATGTGGAACAAAGTGGTAGAGGGTTTGTAAAGAGCACTAATCAAGTCTTAAGCCTACCGTTTCAAGTTCGGTTAGATTCATCAGTAAAATCTGTTTATAATCTAATAAATATCTATATTTCTTTCTAAATATAAGCACATACCATTCATTGTCGGTTCAAGCCACTAGTGAACTACTTGGGCTACCAACACCAAAGTGACTAATTGTTTACGGATTTTCAGTACTGATCGGATCTCATCAATCGATGAATACAGAATAATCGCTAGGTTAATTGACGTGATAATGTGCGCATATTCGAGTATGGAAGCACAATAAACAAATTGGTGGACTTTTTGATATACGTAAAAACCATATACATAAAACTAGAAAAGAATATATCTCACAAAACATGGCACAAATCCATGAAATCAATAACAAGTGGACTGTGTCATGTTGGTAGATGTAGACAACCTGGTTGAGGTCCGCGAGACGATAGTAACCGATGGTTAGAGACTATAAGCGACATTGCTCAAAATCGTTTGCAATGGTGCAGGTGCATCCACTGTTCTATGAGATCCTAATTTTCTGAATTCGTCGTCGCCTATACCTTTCTCTTTCTAAAGTTATCTCACGAAATTATACTTCTCGAATCATATTTTCGAAACCTAATCTTCTCTATTACTGCTAATACTTCTACTATCGCTACCACTATGGGATTCGAACTGACAATTCCATCTGTGTGTTAATGTGGTATGGCAACTTGAACCGATGTACGAACGTGTAAGTTCTACGTTGTAACTGACTGAAGCATCTGGAAAATGATGAGTCATGTGCCGCAATCTTGATCGGGTATTAAGCCATACCACAACTATATTTAGTATGATTCCTTTACCTTCAAAAAGCTCAAGGTCATAAGTAAGTCTATAAATACTCTTAATTTTCGGTACATAAACTAAACTTGGAGTGCTCGTACTTTGCTCCACTTTTCTTGTATTCAAGTTCCAGCGTAGATTTAGTCTGGAGTTATTGGAAACGGACAGGAAACCAGACCATGCGTTTATTTTGCAGGCTTATCAAAACTCCAGGTAAAAAAGAAATTTAATGACTACCTCAACCTATACAAATCCGTAAGTTGATTTGTTAATTGTCTGATAACTGTCATTTTTTGTTAGAATTAAGTGGACTGTGGTGAAAGGTCACTTGCTTTCGTTGCAACATTCATCGGATTGAGTTACCAAAAGCTATCTACTTCAATGGTTATAAATTAGCTAGACTCAGCTAACTTCAGTTCATTTTTCATCAAAAAAATCATGAAAACTTACTCATCCAAACGGAAGCTAAGAGATACACAACATTCACGATCTGGATGAGGATTCATTGGATCTGGTTCGCATGTTAACTGAACTAATCTCTAAAAAAAGTCATTTAGAAGATCGTGTGCATTAATTAGATGATCAGTTATATTCATAGATCAAAACCAATACAATCATGCGAACATGCAATATAAGTGATGCTCCCGAATACCCTGGTGCGGTCAAAAGTGAAGAGTCCATATGGCCACGCATATATAACCACCACCATAGAAGTCCTACTCACTACCTCCTTGTAGCCTGGGTATTGTTTACAAAAATTGGAGGACAAGCAAAGAACATCCGGCACTTAAACAGAGTTGGATGGTACGGCTGATACATTTAGGACAGTTAGAAAACCCTGATTCCAAACCAACGGAACACAAGAGCTCCAGAGTCCTGAAGGAACAAATGACATATGAACGTACTGTTGATCGTCAGCTACCAAGGAGCTGCACTCCCTTTGTCCCACTGCTTTGCGTGTTCAAGGAGTGGGCCCCTAAGAAAATCACCTGCTTCGGTTTGGGTACCTAGGAATTATTCCAGTCCACACATAAATCCATTGACAACCTCATCGATACGATGCCTAACCGTAAAGTCTTCATTGATTGGAGAACGAGTGACCTGAGAGTTAATTTCCTCTAAGCGCCTATTTCGTTTTATGATTCTTATTTTGTGTTCATATTCTGTACATTGGTATGTTATAATATTTATGAGAAATTCATCCATTGGTCTACTGACTTTTTCGTCTTTAATTTCTAATCATTCGGGAGTTTAAGTCAATTACCCGATTTTGTGAGTAGCCACCACTTAGTCATATCATCGTGTTTATCCATTGATTGGCACTCTATTCATTAATTTTGATAATCGAACATTTCATCTAGTCAAATCACAGAAAACCCATAAGGAGTGAGGATAAACTTCCCGTCATCTGAAAGTATCGTTGTCAGTAATAACGGTCACGTTTTCGTGAATATAGTCACCAAGTTATACATATATTGAATATTGTTTATTGCAGAATTAATTAGAGGTTTGACTTTTGTAATCTTTCCTTCATCATAACTGAATGCGCCACATCTGACACATTCTTAGAAGGGTGGTGATTTTTCGGTCGTAGAAAACTTATCATGGTTCATGGATTTCCGTAAGTAAACATTTAGTGAGTGCTGTGAATAGTAGAACCTGAGGCTAAAATAATAATCCCCATTTAGTTCTGGTTGGTTTCCAGGTACGATTTGAAATGGCGAAAGACAGAGCAGTCCCCAGTCCCCATAAAGCTCTTTTATATTTCAAATCATGGTATCAGTAAAAACTTAGAATTTTAACTGTAATTAGTCAGCAATAATGTTTTGAGCAAACCAGTGAACAAAACTGAGAAGCAAAATTACTTACGGGTTCCTCCCACATACATTCTAACGGTACAAGGTTGTCCTGAACTGATAAATCGTAATGTTGAAGATATTCTGAATCAAGATACTCAAGACACTGTTCCAGATTCACATTGCCATATGTGTAGAAACTAAAAGTATTGGAAATTACGTGACAAGTACAGAAACCAATTTTAGTCGTTTCTTTGGAAAAATTTTGAAAAAATGACTAACAAATACGGAAAGCCAAATGAGAGGACTGATAATTCTTGAATTTAAACTTGATAGATATGTCAGTGGTATGGAAATGGATAAATTGGTTTATTAACCGTACAAAAATGGAGTTATTTCACCTGATATTTCACTAACACTTCTTATTAAAAACGATGCCTCATTTTGGAGTAGGACCAAACGATATGTAACTGTACATGACATGTTAAAAACATTATGCATTAGGCCAATAACGAATAAGTTTTCATTTTGAAGAATTATCTAACAAATGCATACAACCCCCATTAGATCGGCATACATTTCTTCAATGACCAAAATGCTTATTTCCAGAGATCACGACGCGCCATCTCAAGGAAAATTATTTTGAAGAATACAACATATTCACAAATACAATGATACAACGACTGACAATCACTGCGTACACCGACACACAAACACAAACAATATATAGATGACAGATGCGTTGCAAAGTGGGATTTTTTTAACCCGGATGATATAAAACCAATCTAACTCGACAAATAAACAAATACTGACCAATCAAACTGGAGCCCGACCGTAGCTGCTACCTTGACGTGCTGGTCGGGCTTGCCTATCCTGATGACCCAACCGAGCTATACTGGCTGGAACATATATTCCTGCAGGTCCTACCATGCCAGGCTGGTCGATTGGAGAACGATGAGACTAAAGGCAGCTACCCAAGGTCTGAGGGCGAAGTCGTACTGCTGACTGCAGAGAAGTGTGACAGCAGTAAGGTGTTTCCCTCGGACAACCAGCATCTGCAGCGATGCTGCCTTCTCACAAGGAAGGAAGGGTTAGGAAGGTCGGCCCTAAAAATGTCACACTTCCCCTAACTCACGGATTTCCGTCTCCCGCGGTAAGGGTACCCACTAAGGGCCTTTAAGAACGCAGCTAATCCTCAAAAAACCTTTCATAAAAAGGCCGTGCGTGACCGGCCTCAAGCAGTTGTCCCTTGGGCTCTGCGGTCACGCGCCCAGGTCTCTAAGACCAACACTAATCTATTTTCCTTTTCAGGTTCCTCAAGAAACAACCTTCCATGGTGTGGGCAGCCGGGAAGTGACAACCGCCCTCATACCCGTAACAGCACACGAGACCGAATTGGTCAAAATCAAATCCTTCCTACACCCCCTAGTACCTCTCTTATCTCAACGACTAACTCTTCTCACATTCATTTATCACAGTACACAGCTAATGCAGACGACACGAGTTCGTGAAACGTCGTTCCTGGTCTCCTTAAACCCCGCTCTATACTACATGTTGGAGCATTTAAGGTACGGACATTGTGTCAAATAGGGCAACAGGCATCATTAGCTAGGACTTTAGAATCTTGCTCAATCGATGTATGCTGCGTCTCGGAAACGCGCGTGCAGGATCCTAGTTAAGTCACTAATTTGATTTCTCCTTGTCAAAATAAAGATGCAGCTCGATTTACTCTTCGTGTATCCGGTAGCCCTGATGCAGCTTCCAGGGGTCTTGCTGGCGTAGGCATAGCATTGAGTCGTAGAGCTGAACTATCTCTCCTTGACTGGATCCCAACAGATAGTCGCTTGTGCGCTGTCCGACTAAATGGGACGGTAAGGACTCGGAAAGATAGGGACAATCGCCGTTGCCTCTTCATCGTATCTGCCTATGCCCCCACTGACTGCAGTGCAGAGGAGGTTAAAGATGAGTTTTACAGAAAGCTTTCGGACCTCCTCCAAAAAGCTGGGCGCTCTGATATAGTAATAATGGCTGGTGACTTTAATGCTCAAGTAGGTAGACTAGGTGAAAAGGAAAGACATCTAGGTGGATGTTATGGTGTCGTGGCTCAGAGAACAGACAATGGTGACCGTCTGTTGCAAGTATGCTCAGACAACCGCCTATTCTTAGCAAACACTAACTTTAGGCATAAGGAAAAGCATCTTTTGACCTGGCGACCTCCAAAGTCGTCTAACGTTGGACGCAACTAGATCACATCGCCATCAGCCACCGATGGAGGTGTTCGATAGAAGACTGTCGCTCGTTCTGGGGCACAAGTTTGGATTCAGATCGTGCCCTAGTGCGAGCGCGTATTTGTTTGAAGCTTACTGGGCGTAGGAAAGACACCGTAAGAAAGCCTCTTGGGGTTTTACTTAATGATAATAGGGCGAAGAATATATTTCAGGAACAACTAGAAAGACAGTTAGGCGACCTTTTAAGCGATTCCCATTCAGAAGCAGGATGGAATGATATCAAAAAGGCTGTGGAAACAGCAGTGAGATCTGCTAGCAAGGTTGACCATAAGGCTAGAATGAAGCCGTGGGTCTCAGTAGCATCCACCGATCTGATGGATGCCCGAAAATCCATCCAACCTGGCTCTGAACATGATGAAGAACGAAGTCAACTTAGGCGCAGACTTATAAAAAGCCTACGTAACGATCGCGAACAGTGGTGGGTGGAGAAAGCAAAAGCGATGGAAAAGGCAGCAGCGATCGGCAACAGTAAAAAACTTTTCCGACTTATCAAGGAAACTGGTATTAGGAATCCTAGTGTAAGTGAGACTATCTCAGAAAATGACGGGACTATCATTTATTCTACGTTGCAACTAACTGACTGACTGACTGAATCAAACTGGAGACAACCACACAATTAGCGTTGTCCGATATTATCCATAAACTGAAGCTCCATACACAACCGTAAGAGCAACCTTGACGCGGTTGTCGGGCTTGCCCATTGTAATGACCAGACCATGTTTACAATGGCGGTAACATATGTTCCTTTAGGTCTTACCAAGCGAGACAGTAAGACTACAAGCAGAAACTCGAGGGCGAAGTCGGACTGCTGAGTGTAGAGGGATATCCGTGTTGTGGACAGTCGGTTAATGACATCCGCCCTCATACACCTACAAGCACACGAGACCAAATATGTCACAATGAAATCCTATTCAAAGCTCTTAATAGCTCTCCTATCTCCACGATCGTTCAGTCTTCCGTTACATCATAGCGCCAGTGGTGTGAAACATTCCAGTACTCGGACTTTGAGTGCAGTTGCCACTTGAATGTGGAGGTCTAGCCGGGACATGTTAATGTTTGAATGGAGCTGTCTTGGCTTGACCAGTCGTCAGGTCGTTTGTTTGGAGTGGGTTAATACTAGATGTAGCAACATCACTCTCAGCGACAAAGTTGCACTGCCAACTATTTCCTCCTAGTTAGCAGACATCTGAAAAGGTTTAGACCTCCCAGAGCAGAAGTTTGTGCCTTTGTTCTTGGCCGTACAAGGCATTTAGGAGTTAGGAATGGTTGGCCGTGAAACTAGTACACCCCAGCTTTCCCCTATGTATTTTTGTCGCTAGCTATCAGGCCTTCTACATATGTTAGGCCACCCACAAAACGTCTGGACTCAAGCAGTTGTCCATTAGGTGCTACAGTCACACTTCCTGTTCGAAAAGGGAACTGCTAATCCGATTCCTACTGCGTCAGGCAGGTCAGTGGGATCAAAATGGATTAAGAGGTCGTAGGAAGAGTGTAGGAACCCAGTGCTTATAAGCAAGACATTTCGCAGAACCCCGGGTGGTTTCACTATGTAATTTCATGGTGTCATGCACAGGAAACCAGATACTGTCTACACTTTCGGCCAAGGGAAGAGGCTATCAGTACAAGCGGCATTTCGCTGCTTCTCATTCGGCATATAAGCAGAAGTAACACCTGGGCTTGCCTTTAATTCTTTTGAAATATTGTGTAAAAGCACTGGGAACAATATGTTCACAAGGAGTCTCTACTTTGTTTAGGGACTTTTCTAAAGGACCACCATTTATTTCGTGAATAATGTTGGTGGCTAGGTAGTTGTTCCTAGTGTGCGTGTATTGGTGAGATAACGAACCCTCATTACCGCATAAGTGGTGTATAACCGGCCCTTACATAAATCTCTAACGCACACCCTCCGTGACTGCTCCCGATGCTATAACAGTGGCAGTAGACCTCCAGTTAGGTAATTAGAAGATTTCCTTATTTTGCAGATGAGTTAATGAGTGACGGATATTGGTGTTGAATGTTTATTAGAGATTTTACATCCAGCTCCATCTTACCCCGATTTTGTTCATTTCATCCGGGATTTCGGGCCACTCTGTAGTGAAATGACCATAGCATACATTTTCAACTAAGTTTGGCTGCTTTAAACGAAGTCTGTATCGACAATTACTAGAATAACTCGTTTTTCTCGCACGGTGGTTAATTTAGGTTTTCTGTATTCCATGAATTTTAAATAAGATGGCACCTGACTCTCTCTATTTCTCTCAGAAATAACCTCGAAATTATATGATTCCCACTGACTGCAGAAACCTTTTCAACCTCCCTCAAAAATTAGGTGCTCTGGATATAGTAAACTTGGCAGGTGACTTTAATGTTTAAGTAGGCAGACTAAGCAAAACCGAAAGGCGCATGGGCGGATCGTGTTACAGAGAACATATAATGGCGACCATCTACTGCAACTACGCTCAAATAATCTCAGGAGACCGAATGGATGGACAGAACACTTTAGCGAGCAGCTCAACTAGCCTCGAACCAAACTTCGGTTACCCACGATCACCAGTTGACCTGAATGGCAAGTTGATGTAGGTCCTCTGAGTCTATGAAGTTGAAAAGGTCATAGGAAATCTAAAGCGAGGGAGGGCAGCAGGCCCTGACAGGCTTACCCCTGAGATTTTTAAGGATGTTGGTCCAGTTTTAGCAGCGACATTGACTGAGACCTTAGGTAGAATCTGGGAACTGGACTTAATCTCATCTGACTGGTCTCACTCACTGCGTGTCCTCTTGTGACAATCAGTTTAACTAATATGGTGTCTAAACCGTTAGCCTCGATAATACTTGGACGCCTAACTACAGCTCATTAAGTGCAGATTAGAGAAAACCAGGGTGCGTTCAGACCTGGACGCGGCCGTATAGACCAGGTATTCACTCCTCGTCAGGTTCTGGAACATAGACATACATTTTGGTGTCCAACAATAGTTGTATTCCTGGACCTTAAGTCGGCATTTGACATCGTAGAGGATATTGGTAGGTTACTGGTTTTCGACCATAGTTGTCTTCGAAGCACTGTTAAGAAACGAGCACTAGTTAGGGATGGCAAATCAGTTGGTGAAGTAGTGAATCTTCATCAGTTGAGGTGGTTGGGACATGTGTTACGTGTGCCCAACCACCGACTGCTCCGACGAGGCGTAGTGTAGGGGTAGGCTGGAAGAAAGCTAGGGGTGGCCAGACCAATACATTGCACAAATCTGTGAAGTCACTAAAAACTGGACAGCCATGTTGGTATGTGTGTAGACTATCTGGTTGGGGTCCGCGAGATGGTAGTGACCGATGCTTAGAGACCTTGAATGGCATGGCCCAAAATCGTTTGCAATGGCTCAGGTGCATCCACTGTTTGTGCTATCTCAAATTCCAATCTTTTGAATTCCTCATTGCGTTTATTTTTCTCTTTTCAAACTCATTTCACTAAATTATAATTCTTGAATACTTCCTTCGAACCCTAATCCTCTCCATTACCGCCAATACTTCTACTACCATCATGGGATTTGAATTAACAATTGCATCCCTGTGCTAATGTGATATGGCAACTTGTACTGATGTAGGTACGTACCAAGTTCTAGGTTGTAGCTGAATGCATGATCTAACTGCGATCGTTCAGTGTGCATTAGCCACAAAAATAAGTTCAATCTTTGCCCTGGGAACACGAACGCGGCATTTAGGATAAAATAATGAGAGCAATGAAAGTGAACGCACACCCCAATAAAAACAATAATGAGACACTAAACTAGGTTACTCACTGAACACTTACCATGAGTTGCTTGGATGGTAATACTTATTATGAAACTGCTTCAGATACTCGTAAGTTAGTGTTGGAATACTTTCTGGGCGCCCCGCACTGACAAAACCATAAGTTTGCGGAAGCAATTTGTTTTGGATAGTTTGACCAAAGCGATTTAGTGAATTAGACTGAAAAGAAATTACATTTGTTATGCGACTGAAAACAAAAGTTTGGAATTAGTCTGAATTTCAAAATTCATCCATAAAATCAGTGAAACAGAAGTTTATTGCCTGCGATTCGACTCCATAACGAACAAACGATGAGCGAGCCCTAAACATAAAATCTGTTTGATTGCTTGTATTTTACCTGGGCTGATTCCGTTCAGATGACGGTGATCATAAAAAGCTAAATACGAATTAAGTTGGATTAATTTACTTCAAACACTCTTTTTCTCAAAAACAAGATGTGAAGCGGAGCGGAGGAGCTAAATGTACCAACTTTGAATATTACTTATGACAAGCTTTAATACAGCTCAAATAGATGATTAGTATGAAAAAGAAAGTGTTGGATAAAATAGTAAGTGCAGGACATGAATATGAGGTAAATATGCCGAAGGTCGATAACTAAGTTAACAAATGAATTGTCACTAAAATAAGTTTGAATTAGTATATCTAACAACGAGTTGAGCTCAATGGTTAACAAGATGCTGGCTGAGGCCCTTTTTAACCCACTTTTGTTTAAGAAGCTAAATAGTACTATACTTACATAGAATTACTTAAAATTAATACCCGGGTAACCGTGACTGAGTCCGATTTACTTCTTACTGAAAAAGAATAAGATTTAGGTATCACATGACGTTAACAATGCGTTGCAAGCTTGGCTATTAATGTGATAAGTTGACAGGTTTTTTGAAACTCACGTATACGGATGAAACGCAAATTAAAGAAACTTACAAATACACCCTTCATTTCGTTAAAGACTACGCCTTTCAAAATCAGATTTGATGTAATATCACTAAGGTTTTCGGGTTCCAAACGCCATCCTTCTTGCCTGAAAATTACAATTGAAAGTTACCCAAACTTACATAAAATCGAGCTCCTCGAGGTTAGGTCGGAAAACGGCGTCAAGATAAACCTTTAATAGGTTATGGAAATCAGTATTATTCATTGTACTGAATGGGTACATAGTCCAATCGCTAGCTAGAAGAAATGAATAACCACACACATATAAATTACCAGTAAGAGCATTCATGAATGTAGCTTGGCTTCTATGAGCCATCTTCATGAACGGATCATGACAAGGATATTTTTGGGATCCACAAAGAACAGTATGTTCCAGAATGTGAGAAACGCCAGAATCGTTGGGAGGAATAGTCCTTAGCTGAACACTGACCTAGAATGAACTAAGCAACATCTAACCTAACCTGAATGTTTTGTTTGGATCATCTCGGGCTAAATGCAAGTATTTTGCACCCGACTTCTGATGCTCAAGCTCAGCAACTAGTAACCGGAGCTCTGTAACTTCAAAAGACTAGAAGAATAAGCATCACAATAGTAGACTTACCCTTATCAACCTAAATCCATACAAAAGCTTATTCGCAGCAAGATGTTCGACTTTTCCAATCATTACGAGTAATCACTGAGTGGACTGCTAGAAATTGTCAGTAACCAAGGTAATTGATCGTCTAGTCGGGATCCAAACCTGACAAGTGTAAAAACGCAAGAAATAAGAAGCTTCTAGAGTTCGAATTAGAAAACTTAAGATGAATGATCAAGTCTCGTATTAGTAGTAACTAATTTAGTCAGTCAGTCACACACAATGTAAAACTTGGTACGTATCTACATCAGTACAAGTTGACATATCATATTAGCACAGGGATGCAATTGTTAATTCAAATCCCATGATGGTAGTAGAAGTATTGGCGGTAATGGAGAGGATTAGGGTTCGAAGGAAGTATTCAAGAATTATAATTTAGTGAAATGAGTTTGAAAAGAGAAAAATAAACGCAATGAGGAATTCAAAAGATTGGAATTTGAGATAGCACAAACAGTGGATGCACCTGAGCCATTGCAAACGATTTTGGGCCATGCCATTCAAGGTCTCTAAGCATCGGTCACTACCATCTCGCGGACCCCAACCAGATAGTCTACACACATACCAACATGGCTGTCCAGTTTTTAGTGACTTCACAGATTTGTGCAATGTATTGGTCTGGCCACCCCTAGCTTTCTTCCAGCCTACCCCTACACTACGCCTCGTCGGAGCAGTCGGTGGTTGGGCACACGTAACACATGTCCCAACCACCTCAACTGATGAAGATTCACTACTTCACCAACTGATTTGCCATCCCTAACTAGTGCTCGTTTCTTAACAGTGCTTCGAAGACAACTATGGTCGAAAACCAGTAACCTACCAATATCCTCTACGATGTCAAATGCCGACTTAAGGTCCAGGAATACAACCATTGTTGGACACCAAAATGTATGTCTATGTTCCAGAACCTGACGAGGAGTGAATACCTGGTCTATACGGCCGCGTCCAGGTCTGAACGCACCCTGGTTTTCTCTAATCTGCACTTAATGAGCTGTAGTTAGGCGTCCAAGTATTATCGAGGCTAACGGTTTAGACACCATATTAGTTAAACTGATTGTCACAAGAGGACACGCAGTGAGTGAGACCAGTCAGATGAGATTAAGTCCAGTTCCCAGATTCTACCTAAGGTCTCAGTCAATGTCGCTGCTAAAACTGGACCAACATCCTTAAAAATCTCAGGGGTAAGCCTGTCAGGGCCTGCTGCCCTCCCTCGCTTTAGATTTCCTATGACCTTTTCAACTTCATAGACTCAGAGGACCTACATCAACTTGCCATTCAGGTCAACTGGTGATCGTGGGTAACCGAAGTTTGGTTCGAGGCTAGTTGAGCTGCTCGCTAAAGTGTTCTGTCCATCCATTCGGTCTCCTGAGATTATTTGAGCGTAGTTGCAGTAGATGGTCGCCATTATATGTTCTCTGTAACACGATCCGCCCATGCGCCTTTCGGTTTTGCTTAGTCTGCCTACTTAAACATTAAAGTCACCTGCCAAGTTTACTATATCCAGAGCACCTAATTTTTGAGGGAGGTTGAAAAGGTTTCTGCAGTCAGTGGGAATCATATAATTTCGAGGTTATTTCTGAGAGAAATAGAGAGAGTCAGGTGCCATCTTATTTAAAATTCATGGAATACAGAAAACCTAAATTAACCACCGTGCGAGAAAAACGAGTTATTCTAGTAATTGTCGATACAGACTTCGTTTAAAGCAGCCAAACTTAGTTGAAAATGTATGCTATGGTCATTTCACTACAGAGTGGCCCGAAATCCCGGATGAAATGAACAAAATCGGGGTAAGATGGAGCTGGATGTAAAATCTCTAATAAACATTCAACACCAATATCCGTCACTCATTAACTCATCTGCAAAATAAGGAAATCTTCTAATTACCTAACTGGAGGTCTACTGCCACTGTTATAGCATCGGGAGCAGTCACGGAGGGTGTGCGTTAGAGATTTATGTAAGGGCCGGTTATACACCACTTATGCGGTAATGAGGGTTCGTTATCTCACCAATACACGCACACTAGGAACAACTACCTAGCCACCAACATTATTCACGAAATAAATGGTGGTCCTTTAGAAAAGTCCCTAAACAAAGTAGAGACTCCTTGTGAACATATTGTTCCCAGTGCTTTTACACAATATTTCAAAAGAATTAAAGGCAAGCCCAGGTGTTACTTCTGCTTATATGCCGAATGAGAAGCAGCGAAATGCCGCTTGTACTGATAGCCTCTTCCCTTGGCCGAAAGTGTAGACAGTATCTGGTTTCCTGTGCATGACACCATGAAATTACATAGTGAAACCACCCGGGGTTCTGCGAAATGTCTTGCTTATAAGCACTGGGTTCCTACACTCTTCCTACGACCTCTTAATCCATTTTGATCCCACTGACCTGCCTGACGCAGTAGGAATCGGATTAGCAGTTCCCTTTTCGAACAGGAAGTGTGACTGTAGCACCTAATGGACAACTGCTTGAGTCCAGACGTTTTGTGGGTGGCCTAACATATGTAGAAGGCCTGATAGCTAGCGACAAAAATACATAGGGGAAAGCTGGGGTGTACTAGTTTCACGGCCAACCATTCCTAACTCCTAAATGCCTTGTACGGCCAAGAACAAAGGCACAAACTTCTGCTCTGGGAGGTCTAAACCTTTTCAGATGTCTGCTAACTAGGAGGAAATAGTTGGCAGTGCAACTTTGTCGCTGAGAGTGATGTTGCTACATCTAGTATTAACCCACTCCAAACAAACGACCTGACGACTGGTCAAGCCAAGACAGCTCCATTCAAACATTAACATGTCCCGGCTAGACCTCCACATTCAAGTGGCAACTGCACTCAAAGTCCGAGTTCTGGAATGGTGCTCAAATAAAATAGTTGATTTCTAGACAAACAGAGCGTCAGGTTAACTTTTAGACTGAGGGTATGCTGATCACCAAAATGTGTTAACCTCTTGAGAACTTCGAAAAAGCACTAAGAGCAAATGTGGTGAGATGCTTACAGACTGATAACAACTAAAATCAACAACATGGTAAACAGAAAATATGAGAACAGAAATCAAAATTTGAGTGATTTCATTATCGTTGGAGACCTGATTAGGAACTAGGGCATGAAACTTTGCGGCTAGAAGCGTGATATGCGACATGAGAGAAGAGAAGAAAACCGTGAAGAAAAGAAACTGAGTGATCAGATTGGACACTACGTTAGGAACCCACGGATAATGGTTAGAACACGCGCCTACAATTATTCTTTGGCTGACCTTCAGCCAGAGTTTGAACTGTGGTCCTTGGTGAGCTGGATATTATGGCTGAGGTTGAATCTGATTATGTCAAATAAGTAGACTGTATTTACAGGCTAAAGTATATTTTGCAAGCTTGGAAGATAAACGCTAAGAATTAGAGTAATTGTAGATACAGTCTTCGTTTAAAGCAGCCAAACATAATTGAAAGCATAAGGTTTGACAATTTGACGGATCCCCAATTTAACTGATTTCGCATTTATTTACTTTTCTGTTCTACTATAATCTTTTCATTTTATTTATTTTTTCTCTTTCCACTCTCTGTTCTTCTAATTTCACTTGCCGTCCATAATTTTCGTTTCGTTGTTTCAATAATTTTTCAACTATGTGAAATTTTTCAACTTTGTGAAATAGGACTTTTTAAATACAACCCCATTCTTTGTGGTAAACAGTAATATTGTAGAAGACCCGAATACTTTTTTCGAAAGTCTCAATCGTCATTTTTACCATTATTGCAGTGCAGAGACCGAAATCTAAATAAAAAACTTTCCACTGTTGACATCCGAGTATATATCTGCAAATCATTCTACATCCAGTAACATCAGTCCGGCTATAACTTCCGTATAAATGACTTATAACGGTGGACCTGATGGTATTCTTACAAAATATACGAAATATGGCAGTACTGTATTTCCATCTGTTCATCCTGCACATGGGCTATTAAACGTATCTACGTATATGAAAAATATAACATAGACAGCTATTGTCAGTTTCGCCTTTCGAAAAACCTAGTGACCCTCCTTAATCATAACTGCTTATTGTTCAAAAAATTATCCGTTGGGTCATGACTCAGCATTATTCACGACTATTTCATATTCCGCTCTTTCTCTTTTTAATTCATAAAATGGCCTTAACATTCCTGTAGACTTACTGATTCTTTTCCTAGAAACTTGTCAAATTATGACCTGGGAAATTCCATCAAGAAATTCAGTGCATATTTTTCCTCATCACTCCTTTTCATATACAGCCGTGCATTCAAATGGCATTGATCTTCGACCAGCATTCCTTTGTCGAAACAACCGACATAAATCGCACCAACTATTATATTTTACATTCCAGAGTCTGGAACGTTTACAATTTTATGTGAAAAATATTAGGCCTCTGAAGAAAACCAGTGTTCCTCGTAAAATATTCATCTAGATGAACAATCTTTCGCGGTAAGTGTGTTAGCAATTTTAACATATTGATCCTCTGTGTATATTGCCATGTCTGATTCAACACACTATTGTTTAAGAATAAATTATTATCAATACTAAAAACGTCGCTTTTTATCTATTTCAAGTTTGAAAGAATGGGAAATTTTGAACTGTTTTTCACGAAGTATTCGTGGTTCACTTCTGTTTAAATTCATTATAATTATTATGATTGACCGCCTGACAGAGAAGATATTTTGCTGTTACTATTGCAATATTTCCAAATAAAAACAAAAAATTTCGCTTCAAACTTTGTGAAAAAGACTAGCATTCTATCATCATTTTATCTTCATCACGTACATATTACGGTATTCAGCTGATTTTTGGTGATGTTTTCCTGCTCTTGATACCATAAATCGTCTGACCATATATTTCAGGCACAAAGAAATTTCAAAGGAAGCCAAATGCATTTATGTAACTACAGCAAAGTTTGTGGGCCTTTACGCTACCTGTAAGCGTTTAGGAAGCAGCAGCAAAACTGTTAGGATATTCATCCAATATCCTAAGAGAACCATTGGTCGATTACTATTGGTTATTTCCTACTGGTCAGTATTATGGTCGTTGTAGATATCAATGTCACGTAATAATAATAATCATAATAATTTTATTCTCAAATAACGAACATGTTACAAGAGGGCATTCCAATTTACAAGCAAGATCAAAATGTTAAGTTCAACAACGTATTTTTAAAACGGTGTACAATCACTGAAATATTTCATAAGACACATTGGCTACATTTGGATAGTCTGCAATGAACAACGCGAATAATTGGCGCGAGCCACAACGGTTGCGTTACGACGAGCTTCTTAATGACCGAGAAATAATGCAAGGTAGTTCCA